TTGATATGAAGTACTTAAGATTCTTGTGGTCCATATACATGGTGACCAGTTTAGAAGTGCCTTCTAGATGATGATGCCATTCTTAAAATAAATCCATGACTACAAGAAGCTTTTTGTCATGGATTTCATTCTTAATCTCAATTGTTAAGAAAAATTTGGAATGAAAAGCTATTAGGTGAAGTTTATCATTTATTTTCATTTGTGATAATATAGCACCCAAAGCAAATTCTAATGCATCTATTTCCATAAAAAATGCCTTAAAAAAGTCGACACAATATAAGATTGGTACAAAAATAAAGGTTAATTTTAAAGCTTCAAAAGATGCTTTAGCTTCTCTACTCCATTAAAGTTTATCTTTGGAAGTCAAACGTATAAGTGGAGCTATAACTCGAGAAAAGTCTTTGATGAAGATTCAATAATAGTTGGCAAAGCCTGAAAAGTATTAGACATCTCTTATCATTTTTAGAATCTTCCAATCTATAATAGTTTGAACTTTCTTAGAATCTATCATAAGTCCATTATTTGAAATGATATATCCTAAGAAGTCGACTTGAGTAGTAGAGAATATACACTTTTCTATTTTGGCATGGAGTCTCACATCTCTTAATTTTTGTAGCACACAATAAATATGAAGTTCATGTTCATATGTATCCTTAGAATAGATCAAGATGTCATCTTAATAATAGACAACAAAATCGTCCAAAAATTCTCAAAATTTTCAAAATTTATTAGATTTTGAAAAGCTGTTAATGCATTTATAAGTCTATAAAGTATGACATTATATTCAAAATATCCATATCTAGTTTGAAACAATATCTTCTATTTATCTTCTTCTTTAATACGTACTAGATTATATGCTCTCCATAGATCTATTTTTATATAGATCTTAGTTTAATTCATTTGATCAAAAAGTATGGATATAAAAAATAAAGGATATTTATTCTTGATGGTAATCTTTTTTAGTCCTTGATAATCAACACATATCCTCAATGATCCATCTTTATTCTTCACAAATAAGATTTGAGCTCTTGTTGGCGATTTGGAATGGTGTATAAAATTTTTGGCTAGATTTTTTTTAATATATTCATTGAATTCACCCAATTCATTTTGTTATAAATTATAGATTGGTCCAAATGGCGATTGTGCCCCTTCTTGAAGTCACTTGAGTAGTCATACGGATGATGTTCTGGAAGAGTATCCGCATTCTTCTTTTCAAATACATCTTTAAATTCTTGATATTGGCTTGGAATGCCACTTGAAGCCTTTGCATCATTAGAAATAGATGTGGTGTAAATTACACAAGGTGATCCTTCTTTTGCAGTATGCTACAAAGCTCTTACTCCTACAAAAATAAGTTTTATTATGCTAAATTTATGACTTTCTAAAAAATTAATTTTAATCTTAGTTATACTTTTAGAAAAATCAAGAGTACGAGAAATCCAATCTATGCATGGATTATACTTTTTCTAACCACGATAAACCTAAAATGACCAAATAAGATGGAGATCTAATTATATTAAAGATTACACAATTACTATAACCATTTATTGCTACATCTATAGGAAGTGTTTCATGAATAACCTCTCTAGAAGACAACGGATGACCATCTATAATTTCTACATGAACAAGTTTAGTTTTTTGTATTAACAATATTTTATGACTTTTAACAAATTCTACATCTAAGAAACAAGTTGAGGCTCTTGAATCTATCAAGGTAGATGCTTTATAATTATTAGGTTCTAAATGCACATCTATTATAAAAAAAAAAAAAATGGATTCTAAGGAGAAGATAGGACCTTCATTAGAAATTGTACAAGATTCCAGCCACAAGGTCCCTATTATAGTTGAAAAAATTTATTTTTTGACACATTATTTTCTTTGACAGTTGTGCTCTTCATTTTGTGATTTCATTGCTTCTTTCGACAATGTTGAGTACTGTATTTAGGTTCTCCACAATATAAGCACAATCCTTCTTGACAACAACGAGTCATTTCTTGCTTGGTAAGAGATTTAAAATGTATCGCATTAATTTGCATATCCTCTACTTCTGAATGTATATGATGAAAGGTGTTGGTATTACCATCAAATTGTAGTAACATTTAGGCTTACTTGTGTGACTTTCAAATCAAAATTCAAAAAATCAATTGTAGTACTTCATAACAAAGTCAATTACTTGACTCAATGTTTGAGGATCAAGTAAGTTGAGCATCAATTTCTTTACTTCATATCGTAATCTATAGAAAAGTTGGCTAATAAGTATAGCATCATCTCATTTGATATCAGTTGTAAGTTGTTGAAATTGTAAGATGTATGATGTTACAAATTATATGCCTTATCGCAAAAGATGGATCTTGTTGGTTGCAATATGAATTGCATCATGTTTTCTATACATGGACTGAAATTTTGCCAAAAATGCCTCCAAATTATCTAATATTGGATCTTGTTGTTCAAGAAAAGATAAAAACTACAATAGTGCTGAACATGAAAGAAGTATACCAATGAATCTAACTTGTGATCTTAGTGTTGGATAGCTTTGAGGTTGAAGTTCAATCATAAGTTATACTTGATTGATAAATCTAGATCTTGTGCAATCAAACTTCTCAAGCAAGGCAACTCTTGGTTCTCTAACACTTGAAGGATATTCCACCATGGATGGAGGAATATGATTTGGTACAGATGCTAAGGCAACTCTAATCATCTCTATATCCTCATTTTCTGCCATTCTTCTTGATTATTGTGGTGGTAAGCTAAGTTGAGGCATCGCAAGTATCAACTCTCTCAATTGCTCTTACATTTGTGTCATTTCATTCTTCATTTTACTAAGTTTTGCCATAATAAACTTTAAGAAAAATATCTAATACCACTCAAAAAAAGTAGAAGAAAAGGCTTGAAGACAACGAAAATATTAAGAACAATATCAATTTAGAAGAGAGCAATCTACAACTTCTAATATGCGTATGTCTTATCATGAAAAAGTGATAATCTGCTCTAAATCAAGACAAGACAAAGCTTTGATATTGTAAGTGTACTCTTGTCAATTTGTCAAGGACATGAATTGAAAGATGATGCATAAATCAATGAAATCCATATCAAAGAAAAAGTGACAAAATAAAAATAAAGAAGTACGTATATTAAAAATAAATTGGAATGGCTTATTGTCAAAAGACAAGAAAACTTGAGACTCTTGAAACTAGACTAGAAGCAAGAAAAGACTTGACAAGAGTGAAGAGGGCTTCACTCTTGTCTCTATATACACTATCTAACTAGGGGCTACGTGGCAATATTTTATAGGACCTCCAATATGTGTTGACTTTGTAGGACACATGCCTTGACTTACAAGGCAAGTTTTTCTATATGTTTGCTATAGAGTTAGCTTGTTCTTCAAGCTACCAACATAAGTGGCACATGATTAACTTATTGACCAAGTTTTTAACCTAAAAGACAATAATGGATACTTGTAAAATCAAAGCAGTATCTATGAAGCTTCTAGGAAGCTTCTTTAGAAGATATTATAGAATTAACTTACTTTTACCTATTTCTATCTACTTCTACCTATTTATATAGGTAATTACTAACTTACATGTATATGTCTATGACACTATTAGAACTCAAGATGATTTGTTTTGTTATCACTTATTTAAGGTAAACAATCCATTTTTATTAATTTAATATTTTAAAATATTTGTAATAAGTATAAAAATAAATTTAAAAAAAATATATTTTTATGTATGAAAATAAAAATTAGGATAATTTTAAGTGTTTTCATACAATTTGGTCTAAAAATATAGTTTATATAAATATTTCAGCTAAAGATTTTCTTTGATCCATTTTTGATATATAAGCTAATCTAATTTGAACTAGTGGTGGTTTACAAAACCAAGAATCTATCTATTACAAAACCAAGAAGTGTAGCACCTAATAGCATGGAAGAGCCTGCTTAGCCATTGGTGCCATTGTTGCGCTACCAATGGCCTACTTATAGCCCGTTATGAGATTGGGCTCAACGAATTTGGTTATTATTTTAGTACTTTGGTGTAGAAATGGCTTTATGAAGTTGGAGCTAGTCTTACTATGGAGTATAGACAAAACATGTGTAAGGCAGCTACATGGTATCGAGTATGTTGGATATTGACTATCCCACCTTGTGATTGGTAGTAATTAGGCCTAGCGCTACTTCGCTATCCGACATCGATTCCACTTAGGCCCCACTTCTAAGCCCTTCTTCATCTATTGTTTCTATTGGCATTAATAGGTGGAAACTATGTTAGAGCTGTCTTAGCCCATATGCCATGTTGCTATAATATCTGTTTATTTGTTCCTATTAGTATCCCTACCATACTCTAATTATGCTATCAAGAGAAATATTACATCTAATTATGTTATTATTGCATCCTAACCAATCAATAATTGCCACTTATATTAATAGTTCACTCATATCTATTCTAAGTACAATGAATTTTATTTATTACTCACAACTTAAAATCATTATAAGCAACCCCAATATTTTTTCAACCAAAGGATATCAAACTTGGTCAATATTAGGACACTAGACTCACAAAAATATCCCACCTTACATGTTAAAAATGAGGGGTAGTTGCCAATGGATCAGCCACCTTAGTTCAAGCCACACATATACTCCACACATTTCAAACAATTAAATAAACAAATTCTTTCACAATCACATCATAAGTGCACCCTTTTAGCTGGAATTGTTGACCATATTGGTACCACAAATGCCCCCCTCTTTCCAAGTTTCACGAACGGAGAAACTGAGCTAAGCAGTGACGCCAGCCGAGTGAGGGAGAGTCACACATGCACCTCCATACCCACAACAGCATCTGTACACAGTCATGACTAGAATTATGAGAGAATGCTTGGAATTGGGTGCAGCGCTGTCTCCTCCTCCAGGGAATGCTAACACTCCCAAATACATCAATTGAACAAGGCAAAACCTTTCTTCGAACTATCGCCTTCTTTTACATGCAATGGACAAGACAGGATTTCTAAGAAAGTTTAGTTTCATTGAAGTGTCTTAAGCCAAATTACGCCGGCCGAGGACGTCAAATGAGACCAATGGATTTCGAAATTTGGTACAAACACTAGAATCTAGAATCAGCGTCCATGGTACTCACAATGTTTGGTTTTTTTTCTATGAATCTGAGGAGTAGCCCTAAGTTTCTAGCGGCCAAAGAATGGTGATCCTACCTTCGTCTAATTCCTGCAACCGGGGCCTCAGATGCTACTCAGCCTAGGGCTGAATCTAGAATCTCTCGTGAAAATGTGAGCTTCACGTCTACTTTACAAAGAATGCACAATCGAGTGAATTACAGGAAAACCGACATCATGTACTGTCGTCGAGAATCGAGAGCTGGGCCCAAAGCAACGGCGACATCTTCATGGTTAGCGCCTCCGGGGTCATGTTCAGTGCTTCCGCCATCATTTGGCTCACTTTTCGCATGGACGGCCTCTTGTAGCCCTTGTTCGAGAGACACAAATTCACTATCTTACATAGAGCCAGCAACTCGTCGGAGTTGTGCGCCTTGAGCTCGGGATCCAACAACTGTTCAACCAGGTTGGAATCGGCAAGATACGGCGAAGCCCAGTCCACCAGCGTCGACCCCACGGGCTCGCAGTAAGACGGTCGACCACTGATCACCTGAAGCAGAAACACGCCGAAGTTGTACACGTTGCTCTCAAATCCGGGACAATGGCGGTCGGAACTCTCCCATTCATCGGTGTAGCCTTCACTGACTTTGAAGCCCATCCAGCTGCCCTTCTCGTACTCTTTTTTCCCGGGCGTCATCCTGGCAATGCCAAAATTGGCAATCTTCGTAGCGTACGCGTCCGTGAGATAGATAGCATTGGCGTCGAAGTTCAAGTGACTGCACGGTGGGGTCAAGTCGTGGTGCATATATTCCAACCCGTAAGCGGCTCCCATTATGACTCGCATGCGTGTCGGCCAATCCAGGTGCTCCATCTCCTTGGGGTTGTGTAGATGATCTGAGAGGGTGCCGTTGGAGGCGTATTCGAATACGAGCATGCGAGTGAAGGGAACCTCTTCGGAACAATACCCAACCAGGTTCACCAAATGCTTGTGCTTCATGCGGGCGAGGCTCTCCACTTTGCGGCGGAAGGAGAGCTCCGAGTAAGCAGACCAATCCGTGGCGGACATCCGGATGCTCGTGACCGCTACCTCGGTGCCGTCAGCGAGCGTCCCTTTGTACAACACTCCGTCTGGAGAGGAACCGATGATGTTGCTGAAATCCTCGCACGCTGCTTCGAGCTCCTCCCGTTTCAGAAGTGGGCATGTGGTCACAAATGGGGTGAGTATCCTCCCACTCTTCCAGCAAGGTTCGGACACCAAGGTATGCGAGCGTCGCTTCTGCACACGGTGAATCATTAACAGTAGAACCACGATGGCGACGGTCAATGCCACAGCCGTGACTACCAGAAGCACGTTCATCCACATGACAGCCTTCGTGTTGACCTCGAGCGATGGCAACGGTGCCGGTTCATGCCTCTCAGGATCCTGCTTCTCCTCGCTCGAGCGTAACACACCCTGGAATGTACCCACAACTCTGCCGGAAACTAATGCGATAGACAGCGACCAAACACAAGCACCAAGCCACATATCCTGCTTCATGATGTGCGACTCCAAAATTATAACCTTGTCGAACACTGTCTCCGAATCGATCAACGCAAGCTGCTGGTGCTCTCGAGACTATAGACATAGTGACAGCATCTCCCTCTGGCCATTTCCTCGCTCTCCTTCCCCTCTTTCTCTGGGACACATTACAAGCACCAAAAACTCAAACACCATGTTCGCAAACTTCTCCGGAGACTGATGAAGGCTTGCTCAAAGTTCCAACGGTGCCTGACTTCTAAAAGGGCTGGCGGTTGCGACAAGAAATTCAAGCTCCTCGAATCTGATCAGAAATACGACACCCACAGCAGCTTCCCGTCAAACTGGCAAACTTGCAAGCTCAGGAATGGCCTGAGGACGTCGTAGCTTCTCCTTCGCCTACCAGTCTGATACGTATAGGGACAAAGACCTCTGGGAACTTCCATACCCAGCACTACGCCACGAAAGCGGACCAATTCTGCCAACAGTCAGTCGCTGCCAGCAACGTCAGATGCATATCACATGGCACACTGCATGCGGAGAAGTAACGATTCCGCAAAGACCGACCAGAGCAGATTTCTGCAACACCGAGCGAGAAGACAACACGGAGGCACTGCAAAGGATGGCGGAATGGGATCCGATCCAATGCGAGTGCAAGTAGGAATGGTGCGGGAGGAGAGAAATGGGGGTTATGCCAATCTGACAGCTCTGCCACGACTCCACTCCACTGCTGCCGCGTTCAAGCCCTGTACATCGATCAACAGGGATGCTGGTACCTAATCAACGAATAACAGGGTGGTGATGAACCCTGGTTTAGTGCAACTTGTGTCGACTGTGATCCCACTGGGTTGTACTCCAAGTTACCCGGCAATGCGGTTCCGATTTCGACTCAGGGTTGCATGTTGTTCGCAACGATCCGATGGCACAGCGGCGCAGTGCGTCACGTAGCGCGAAATTCGCAATGTATCCTAGCCGTGGTTCAAATCGTTGCGTGCGATATGATGACTTGTAATCATCATGTTCAAGTGTTCGGAACGCAACGAACACTTCAGAGAATCATACGCGGTGAAATTAGGCGACCAGGGCAAATTCAAACCTTACCCGCGTGAGATTGATCTTCGGCTTGAAATGGCCACTGGATCCGCTACCAGCTCGACCGCACTTTCATCGACATCGCTTAAATTACAGCGAAAAGCTGGAAATCGTCGATAATGGCCAGAAATAAACATGTCCATCAAAACATTATTGTCCCGGTGACACAATTTAGATTACCGCAGCCAATTCCATACAGAATCGCCATGTCAACAGTGGAGTCTGTAGGAATTCAATCATTCAAGCTCATTCCTTACCATTTTCTACTCCCTCTTGATTTTCGAATTGTCCTCCAGAATCACACCCACGAATAAAGATATATATGCTTTCTTTTCAAAACCCTTACAGCATTTAAATTGCTTCGACTCGTCTTGCAAATTCCAAAAAAGAAAGCATGGCTTGCGTGGTTTTCAATGATGACCGGCCTTTCTTTAAAATATGTCAGTCGATGTAATTAGCAAGATAAATCTAAATTTGCCATTGAAGCCCTGGAAGTAGGTCCACCGATAAATCCGGTATATAGCATCCCTGAGCTGGAACCGCATTCTGTGTTGCATTCCAGAACCCCCGGTGCCCAACATTCGCCAAGTTCGGCAGAGCTCCCGCTTTTCCGTCGCCTGATGATCTTTTTTTATGGTTGCGTGCCACCCCACAGATCCGGCTCCGGGCACACATGACACCGCGCATGGCTAAAAAGCTTTCGGACCCACTCTATACTTTACAGAAACAAATACGCAGGGAAAAAAGAAAAATCAATAACAAGAACAACAACCAAACAACATCAGCAAGGTGTGTTAAATCAACTACACCTGCCGAAAACACAATTAGGGTTTCGAGATCTAAAATCGAGCAGGTTCTTCTTTTTTCTTTTTTTTACAAAAAATTCTAAATCTAATTGAAAAAATGCCAAAATCCAACATCGAAAATCATTTTCCGAGCCATTTCTTCACAATAAAATTGTAAAAAATAAAAAAATAAAAAAAAACCTTTAATATGATATTATATTTACATTGCAACAGATGAATGAAATCTCACTGTCTCAAGAAATGAACTACGTCCATCCATCGCGAGGATTTGTACAAATGAATGAACCTTAATTGCAAGGCGCGGATGAACGTACGCACTATTCCCGAACTGGATGTCGATCATTCGTCCCATGCAGCAAAATAATAATCCCATGCTTGCATGACGATTCTGACTCAGAATCCATATTAATCGCAGTTTACGTGTACCATGGGGGACGGTTTTACTCTGAAACCGTGGTATTGTGTCTGACATAAGAATTTTTTCAAAAAGTATTAAAAAATGCATCAACCTATTGTTTCTAAAATGAGGACATATTTAACTATTGAAATTAATGATGCTTCTTAAATGAATTTTGTTTAACCAATATCATTACCAAAAAATGAATTTAACCAATATCATTTCCTGTACCCTTTTCTAGTTTGCGGGCATTTGGTCATAAATATTACAATAGCTATATTTCCTTTGGTATTTGGATCAAAATGTTAGCTTAAAGACAAAAAAGTATTGGCACACAAAAAAGAAGAAAAAAAGAATAAGAATCAAGTAGAAGTAAATTGCACTATATATATATATATATATATATATATATGTTTATTTATAATTGAGGTAACCTTTTTTTTCAATATTTTGGTCATTGCTAAGAACACCAAATCATATATTACTTTTATATTTATTATGGAAAAAATGAGTACATTCTTGCAAAAACATTATACATAAGAATTAAAATTGGTCTATTGCAATACTTCTAGTAAGAACACATAAGGGCAATAATAAAATAAGACTTTTATTTGCTAGTATAGTAATGACTTTGCATATAGTAAGACTCTTTGTAAATCAAAACTTTAATATTATATTTTGTTTTCCAATACATTACTCAAAGATACATATGAATAAAATAGATTTTTTGTTATGTAAGCATTCAAAGTAAAGGATGAGTTGCTAATTACATAGTTAGATCAATATTACTATTATAAATATGATTAAAATTAGGAATAGTAGTCCTAATGAGTGTATATTATGTTTTAAATAGATCTTAGCATGTTAGTACGATGAAAGCTAAGTTTATTTTATAAAATTCAATAGAATAAAATTAAATAAAAATACCTACTTTTAAAGCAAAATATTGTTCGAATAATACAATATTCATTTGGAATTAAAAGCAATAATTTTCTAAAAATATTCATTTTTTAATCATTGTATCTTTATTTTTTATTATTATTTTATTCAAAGTAGGATTCTCAATACATATTGATTAAAAATATGGAGAGCTCTAAAATCAATAAGGTTTTCAAAAATATTATTGGAAAGAAAGAAGTCAATAGCTTCATTGCAAATCAATTTTCTTATGTTTTTTGTATGTTTAAGCAAAAAAAAGTGGCTTGCTAGTTATGTTAAAAAATATGTAATATATGATATTCTATTTAAAAAACAAACGTATTTTAAAAAATTATATGATTTATTAAAATATATATATATATATATATATTTAATTTATTAATTTAACTAATACTTATCTATGAAACTATCAAAATATTTAGATCCTAATAATTATGTTATTAAAGAAAAGAAGAAAAAAGATCTTTCATTGACTTTTTATAGAAGATGAATTTATATATTCTTTATAGTTTTATCTAATAAGGTTATATCTATGAAGGAGGCAATTCTAGAAATAATTAAAATAAGAATAAGATACAATTAGCTTAGCTAAGTTGCTAATAGTCAAAGGATAATAAAAGAATGAAGATAACTTACTAATGTAGTGACTACGGTTTGATGTGGTAGTTAGGTTAAGAAAAATCTAGGATTAATTTGGATGGATGAAGATGATTAAAGATCAAGTTCAACTACAATAGATGTAAACTCTTCCAATAAGTAAAAATTATTAAAAAAAAGAGTGAAATGGAACTAAATTCTCTTAAAGATCTAAAATCCTTCCAATCTATAGTAACATAAATTCCATCACATTGTAAGATAAAATAAATAAGAATCAAATTGAAAAAAATTAAATAGAATAGAATATAAAAGACAAAATAGAAAAAAAATAAAACAAAATAAAATAAAATAAAATAAAATAAAATAAAAAATACAAACCAAATTTTATTAAAAAAAAAAGATCAAAATCATATTTCATCAAATGTCCCAAATGGCCTCAATTAGTTCTATTTATACTTTGTCCAATCATCCTATTTTTTTTTTAGAATGTCCATAATGGTGGATTCCATCAATATAATCACTCTTTTAGAAGATTTTAGAGGTGGGCCCTATCTTAGTAACTGTCTTCATAAAAAGTTTTTAGAGGTGGATTCTACATTAATAACCACCTTCATAGAAATGGGCCCCATATAAGTAATCGCCTTTAATCATTCTAAGATGTTTTATAGTAGGCCCTATATAAACCACCAATATGGCCTCAATTCTAAAAACTTCTAGAAACTTTTCAAAAATTGCTGTAATTACCTACCTTTATGCATCAATAATATAATTATCTTATTTATGCCCAATTATAGTTAATTTTCCTTGACTAATATGGAACATCCTTGTTTTGCTTTCAATAATACATCCAAATTGCTTCTTGATAATGGATGAGGTTCTATACAAGTTTCCACGTTGCATCATGGATGACATAGCCTTTCTAGAGGACCTTGTATTGAAATTGCAGATGTCCATTGCCACAACAAAGATAGTGATGTCGTACTATAAATGCTTATAATATATAAAAATTAATAAAATCATATTTTATGATTATAAGTCTTGATGTATGTTAGAATGGTTACTAAATTAATTTAAAAAGAGTGAATATAAGAAACTTTGTTTTGAATTTTATCTATTTTTATTATAGTATTTAAATTATATAAGATTTAGATGTTTAGTATAGAGCTTTAAGAGAAAATAGAAGCCTAAGGATGAAAATCTAAACTACTAGGAGGCTTATGGAGAGGGATGAAATCAAGGCATGGTTAGATGAAGACAAAAGGTAAAGATCTTTATCCCTATTGGTCAAAGGCCATGCCTAATGGGCATTCGGCAGGCTATCCACACACATAACAAGGATTTTGGAAACTTCAAAAAGAGCATTTTAGAATCAAAAGCAAGGATTGTAAGATTTAAGATTTGGGCTACAATTTGGATATAAATTTTAGAGGATTTGAAGTTAGGATGATGAAGTCATAGCCATTTGAAGTTAAAGTATTATTTAAGATATACTTTTATTGTTTTGAAGATACAAAGAGTTTTATGATAGATTTTGGAGATTGGGAGGTACAATCATAAAGAAATTTTTAAGATCTACATTTTTTTGTGAAGGAATTTGTGCATTTGGAGTTTGTATGAAGAAGTTATAGATTATTGAAGATCACACATATAAATCAGAGGGAGTAAGTAAGTTGTTTTATTGATAATAATGGTTGGAGCCATATAATGAGTTTCTAGATGAATTTTTACCTAAAAATTTCTAAAAGTATTTTTTATTGAATTCAAAAGCTATATATCAAAATTTTATAGGTATTTAAATACTTAATTTATCAGATATGAAGAAATTTGCACATAAGTATATGTAAGCAAGGATTTGAAGCTATTATTAGAATTTTGGGAATATCTCAAGATCTGTAATGAATTTATGGTTGAAATTTGTTGTGATAGTTGTAAAAAATACATCAGTACTTCATGTAAAATTTGGATTTTTATGGACAGTCCAATCGTGAGATATAAACTATTGAAGTTTAGAAATAATTTACCTTAAGGATATACAAGTTTTTTATGATACTTTTATCATATTTTTGATGATATTTGATACTTAAGGCTTATGTGTTGATATAATTGCCCCTATAGGAATAATTTTATATATAGACTTG